ATTCTGAAAAAATGCCTGCGTGATCCCAAACAGTTGTCACAGACGGTCTGATTCCCACATGCTTCGTGGTAGGGGGGGCTCGGGAGGGTATGCTCCAGCGTCTTGGAAAGGATGCTTCAGTCTGCGCGTGCTGTGACCCCTCCCTAGGGGAACAAAAAGTGACACGAACATAAAGATTCGGAGGTCCGCGCGGATTTCTCGGATCAGCGCCGGAGGCGCCGCCGGGGAACCCCAGCGCCGATCCGAGAAATCCGCGCGGACCTCCGAGTTTTTACGTTTATGTCACTTCTTGTTCCCTTCCTCCCTGCCCCCCGCTGCCCCCCCCCCCTCGCCTGTCCTCTCTCCGCGACCGCGCGGGCGGCCGCCGGGTGCCCGCAGCGCGAGCGGTGCTCCCGCGCTGGAGGTCATCCGGTAATGAAGAGGGGGCGCGCCGCGAAGGCAGTGCTTTTCCTGCCCTGGTGCTGCGTGGTGCTGTCGCAGGAGGAAGAGGAGGGAGGGAGGGAGGAAGAGGAGGGAGGGAGGGAGGGAGGGAGGGAGGGAGGGAGGGAGGGAGGAGGAGGAGGAGGAGGAGGAAGAGGAGGAGGAGGAGGAGGAGGAGGAAGGCGACGAGGCTAATCAGGGAGACCTCGAGATGCACGGACGGTTTGCCCTTCGGCCGTGGATTCGGTATTTCTCGCTCCCTTGTGCCCTTGTGTGCCGAGGAGTTGATCGCCTCCTCCCTCTCGCTCCTGCCTGCTGCTGCTGCGTCGCCCTCGCGTGGTTCTCGTCCTCCTCTTTCTACTTATATTATCTGTCCTCCTCCTCCCCCTCCTCCCCCTCCTCCTCCCCGTCATCATCATCATCATCATCATCATCATCATCATCATCAGCATCATCAGCATCATCATCATCGATATCGACGTCGTCGTCTTCGTCGTCATCATCATGTTCTTATTATTATTGTTGTTATTATTAGTATCAATATTCTTATTACTACTACTATTATTATGATTATTTTCATTACTACTACTACTACTACTACTACTACTACTACTACTACTACTACTACTACTACTACTACTACTACTACTACTGCTGCTGCTGCTGCTGCTGCTACTACTACTACTACTACTACTACTACTACTAGTACTACTACTACTACTAATACTAATAATGATACTAATAATAATAATACTACTACTATTAATACTACTAATAATAATAACAATAATAATAATACTACTAACAATAATGATAATGTTAGTATTAGTATTATTGGTATTATTAGTTTGCTTATTACTGTTCTTCTTTTGTTTCATACTATTATCTGGATTCCCAACTATCCTGTGGTGTTGGGTCCTCGTTTTGAAGAGACATCGCCCCGCGTCTCCTTTTCCTCCTCCCGCTGCCAACTCCCTGCTCCCCCTCCCCCCCTCCTCCCTCCTCCATGCGTTTCACCCACCCAGTACAGCGTTTCGCGGCCCCATAGGGAGCTCCACCCAAGGCCCCAGTGGGGGTGGCCACATGCGTCCGCCACACCCAGTACAGCGCTTCGTCGCCCCATACGGAGCTCCACCCAAGGCCCCAGTGGGGGTGGCCACGCGCGTCCGCCTGGAGCTCCACGCAAGGCCCCAGTGGGGGTGGCAACATGCGTCCTCCACACCTAGTGCAACGCTTCGTGGCCCCATAGGGAGCCCCACCCAAGGCCCCAGTGGGGGTGGCCACATGCGTCCGCCACACCCAGTGCAGCTTTTCGTGGCCCCATAGGGATCTCCACCCAAGGACCCAGTGGGGGTGGCCACGTGCGTCCGCTAGACCCAGTACAGCGCTTCGTGGCCCCATAGGGAGCTCCACGCAAGGCCCCAGTGGTGGTGGCCACATGCGTCCGCCACACCCAGGACAGCGTTTCGTGGCCCCAGAGGGAGCTCCACCTGCGGCCCCAGTGGGGGTGGCCACATGCGTCCGCCACACCCAGTACAGCGCTTCGTGGCCCCATAGGGAGCTCCACGTAAGGCCCCCCTGTGGGGGTGGCCACATGCGTCCCCCACGCCCAGTGCAGCGTTTCGTGGCCCCATAGGGAGCTTCACCCAAGGCCGAGTGGGATTGGCCACATGCGTCCGCCACACCCAGTACAGCTCTTGGTGGCCCCATGGGGAGCTCCACGTAAGGCCCCAGTTGGGGTGGCCACATGCGTCCGCCACACCCAGTACAGCGCTTGGTGGCCCCATAGTGGCACCGCCCGCATGCGTCGTCCACCACCCAGTACAGCACTTCGCGGCCACATTGATTGGGAGCTTCACCAAGCCCCAGTGGCACCGCCCGCATGCGTCCCCCTCACCCGGTACAGCGTATCGTGGCCCCGTAGGGAGCTCTAGTGGCCACCGAAGGCCCCAGTGGCAACGCCAGCATGCGCCCCCCCCTCCCGTGGCCCCGTAGGGAGCTCCTCAGAAAGACCCCAGTGGCACCGCTCGCATGCGTCGGCCACCACCCAGTGCAGCGATTCGTGGCCCCGTAGGGAGCTCCACAGAAAGACCCCAGCGGCACCGCCCGTATGCGCTTCCCCCAACGAATACAGCATTTCGTGGCCTTATCGGGAGCTCCAGCGAGGGGCACCGCCCGCATGCGTCAGCCACACCTAGGACAGCGTGTCGTGGCCCATAGGGAGCCCCACCGAAGGCCCCAGTGGCACCATGTGGCACTGCCCGCATGCGTCTCCCCCACCCATTGCGTCACGTCCAGCACGCGTTTCGTGGCCCCATAGGGAGTTCCACCGAAAGCGGCACCCACAACGCGTTACTCACAATTGCATATGGTTGGGTCTTTCGCCAGCATAATTGTTATTCCTCCTCGTATGTTTCTTTATCATCATCATCATCATCATCATCATCATCATCATCATCATCATCATCATCATCATCATCATCATCATCATCATCATCATCATCATCATCATCATCATCATCACCGTCATCATCACCATCAGCATCAGCATCAGCATCAGCATCGTCATCGTCATCATCATTTTCACCATCATCAGCATCGGCATCAGCATCAGCATCAGCATCAGCATCAGCATCAGCATCAGCATCCGCATCGTCATCAGCATCATCATCATCAGCATCATCATCATCGTCATCATCATCATCGTCATCATCATCATCATCATCCTCATCCTCATCCTCATCATCATCATCCTCCTCCTCCTCCTCATCATCATCATCATCATCATCATCATCATCATCATCATCCCTATCATCCCTCACATCTCTGTCGGTGCGCGCATGCGCGTTCAGTGCTGTGCTGGGAGGAGCCGGGGGACGGGGGGAAGACGGGGCGCGCCCCGCCGGCGCTGGGGAGTACAGGAGAGCGGGGCCGAGGTCGTGCCGACGGAATGGAGCATCCTGCCTGCAGGAGACTTGCCCGGAGGAGAAGGAGCAGAATGAGCAGTCGGTGGAGGAGGGCACGACAGTGACGCAGGTGCCAGTGGTGGTGGTGGTGGTGGTGATGGTGATGGACTTTATAACGTTGTTGTTGTCGGTGTCTGTGGTGATGTTGGTTATGATGCTGTTTTCGCTGATGATGATGATGATGATGATGATGATGATGATGATGATGATGATGATGATGATGATGATTATGATGATGATAATGATGATGGTGATGGTGATGATGGTGATGATGATTATGATTATGATTATGATTATCATTATTGTTCATATGATTCGAATTATTCGTATGACTATGATTGTGATGCTGCTGCTGCTGCTGAGTAGGATGATGAATGCTGATTATGATGCTGAGGATGATGATATTGATGATGATGACGATGATTACAATGCCAATAACAACGATAATGACAACGATCATGACAAAATACAATGACAATGACGATGATGGTGAGCTGATGACGGTGGTGAACGAATGTGGTGTTGATTTGGTGTTGATGTGGTGGAGGTGGTGTTCTTTATGATGGTGATGATGGTGATGATGATGGCGATCCTGATGTTGATGGTCAGGGTAATGGCGGCCAGGATGTGATGTTGGGACGGTGCTGATGATGATGATGAGGTGGAGGAGGAGGAGGAGGAGGAGGGGCACGCAAGCAAGCACGTAAATCCCTGGACGGCGACAAGCTCGGGACTCAAACTGACTGACCTACATCACTGGGCGGCATACATGTGTGGCTGCACCTGCGTTACTCGCTAGCACGGGCGGGAATACCACGCAGTCCCCAGCCATCGCAACCATCCGGGGAAAAACCATGGCGCGGGGGATGGCGGCCCACAAGTCGAAGTCGCCCCTTTACAGCGTGGTTCGATCTTAGCTGCTGGGTTTACTCCACCACGACTGTCTGTAACTACTGGAGCTCTGCATGAGGGGGAGGGGGAGGGGGCTAGGACAGCTGTTCTAGGACGATAAGCTCGGGACTCAAACTGACTGACCTACATCACTGGGTGCGTTACTCGCTAGCACGGGCGGGAATACCACGCAGGCCCCATCGCAGCTATCCAGGGAAAAACCATGGCGCGGGGGTGGCGGCCCACAAGTCGAAGTCGCCCCTTTACAGCGTGGTTCGATTTTAGCTGCTGGGATTACTCCACCACGACTGTCTGTAACTACTAGCCTGGCATCGCTCGGACGTGTGTATTTTTCCTTCGGCGAAGACCATCGAGGAGTACCCGTGATCATTTGGCGAAAAAACCATGCACAAGACCGACAAAAAACACAGGGAATGGACGTCCGAGCGATGGCCAGCTAGAGCTCTGCACGAGGGGGAGGGGGAGGGGGCCAGGACAGCTGAGCCACACACGATGCCCGCGTCGACTGGGTGCCGCAGCCTTTCGCTGCCCGTCCGGGCCTCCATCCTTCTCACTCCGCGCGGTCCGAGCCGCCCTCGAGCCTGCTCAAGAGCGCGCCCTTGGCTCCCCTCCCCCAGGCTCCCCGGGGGGACGGCCGCGCGCTCCCCGGCGGGGCAGGCGGCGAGGCTCGCGCAGCGCGGCGCCGCGCGGCGCATGCGCGGCATGGTCCTGCTCTGCATCGGGCTCAACGCCGCGCTGCAGCGGCGGGTGGGGCTCGAGGACCTGCGGGCAGCAAGCGAGGCGTACGCCGAGCGGTGCGTGGACAGGACAGGAACAGTAATGCTACACATGCGATGCATGTCACAGACAAGTTACGTATCCTACGTTAAGCTGTCACATTCTCACATTCTCGCAGGACCTGCGGGTGGGGGCGGTGAACCGCGCGACGGACAGCAGCGTGGGCATCGGGGGCAAGGGGCAGGGCGCCTACGTGGCCGCCCTGAGGCTTGCGCGCGGGGTGGGGGGCGGCGCGCAGCCCCGCCTGGCCATGCTGCTGGGCAGCGGCCCCGAGGGCGATCAGGTCGCCTCGCTGCTGGCCGCCCAGGCGGGCGGCGCGGGCGGGCCCGGCGCCCAGGACGCGCTCTGGCAGCGCGTGGCGTCGCGCTGCCGGGTCTGCACGACGCTGGTGGACTCCCGGAGCGGCGACGCGACGGAGATCGTGGAGCCCAGCGGGCGCGTGGAGCCCGAGGAGTGGGAGGCGCTGCTGCGCGCCGTGCGCGAGGAGGTGGGCGGCGGGGCCGCGGGCTGCGCGGTCATGGGCACCACGCCGCCGGGGGTGCCCGAGGACGGCTACACGCAGCTGCTCCGGGCGGCGTGCGACCGGGGCACCCGGGTCCTCGTCGACAGCGTGGTCGGCGTGGGCGCCGCCCTGGCGGCGGCCGCGGAGCGGGGCTGCCAGACG